AAAAAAAAAAAAAAAGTCAATCATATTAGACAAAATTGATTAAGGGGGAGAGCTTTCCTATGTGTAAGGAAAGCTAAACTGGTCACAATGGCTCACATCTGTAATCCTAGCAATTTGGGAGGCCAAGGTGAGAGGCTCACTTGAGCCCAAGGGTTTGAGACCAGCCCAGGCATCAAAGCAAGACCCTGTCTCTACAAAATAGCTGGGGAGTGGTGATACGTGCTTTTAGTCCCAGCTACTTGGGAGGGTCCCTTGAGACTAGGAGTTCGAGGTTACAGTGAGCTATGGATTGTGCCACTGCATTCCAGCCTGGTGACAGAGGGAGACTCTGTCTAAAAAAAAGAAAGAATGCTAGCCACACACAGTGGCTCACTTCTGTAATCCCAGCGCTTTGGGAGGCCAACACAGGAAGACCACTTCAGCCCAGGAGTTCAAGACCAGTCTGGACAACATACTGAGACCCCAGTCTCTCTCTCTCTCTCTCTCTCTCCATATGTAGATACATATATATATATATATATATATATATATATATACACACATATATACATATATATACACCATGGCTGGCTAATTTTTGCATTTTTCATAGAGATGAGGTTTCACCATGTTACCTTGGCTGGTCTTGGACTCCTCAGCCTCCCAGAGTGTTAAGATTACAGGCTGGAGTCACCACACCTGTCCTAAAATGTACATTTTATTGTATTCGTTTTGTTTTGTTTTATTTTATTTATTTGTTTTTTGAAATGGGAGTCTCACTTTGTCACCAGGCTGGGGTGCAGTGGCACAATCTCAGCTCACTGCAACCTCCGCCTTCTAGGTTGAAGCTATTCTCCTGCCTTGGCCTCCCAAGTGGCTAGGACTACAGGCACATGCCACCACACCTAGCTAATTTAAAAAAAATTTTTAGTAAAGAAGGGGCTTCACCATGTTGGCCAGGATGGTCTCAATCTCCTGACCTCATGATGTGCCTTGCATCAGCCTCCCAAAGTGTTGGGATTACAGGCGTGAGCCACCGTGCTCGGCCTAAAATGTACATTTTAAAAATATATAAGTATTCATATACATAAATACGTGTGAAACCTTCACCACTTCAACATAATGAATTTACCCACTTCCCCCCCTCCAAAAGTTTCTTCATGTGGCTTTATAATCCCTCCCACATGCTGTTCCGTGACCCCACCTCAATCCCCACTAACCACCAATCTGCTTCTGTCACTGTATATTAGTTTGCATATTTTAGATTTTATATAAGTGGAGCCAACAGCATCTACTTTCTTCTGTCTCACGTCTTTCACTTAGCATGATTGTTTTGAGATTTATCTACACTTTTGCATATATAAATAGTTGATGCTTTTTTATCATTGAGTGTTTTTCCATGACATGGCATGGACTGTTTTCTGGTTTTGGGTTATTACAAATAAAGCTGCTGTAAACATTCATACACAAGTTATTATATAGACATATGCTTTCATTTCTCTGGAATAAATACCTAAGTTTGGAATGGCTAAGGCTAAAGGTAGTCAATGTTCAATTTAAAAAATAAACTACCAGGCTGGGTGCGGTGGCTCACGCCTGTAACCCAGCACTTTGGGAGGCCAAGGTGGCAGATCACCTGAGGTCGGGAGTTCAAGACCAGCCTGAACAACATGGAGAAACCCTGTCTCTACTAAAACTACAATATTAGCCGGGCATGGTGGCCCATGCCTGTAATCCCAGCTATTCAGGAGGCTGAGGCATGAGAATTGCTTGAACCCAGGATGGAGAGGTTGCTATGAGCCACGATCGCAGCATTGTACTCTAGCCTGGGCAACAACAGTGAAACTCGGTCTCAGTAAAATAAAATAAAATACCAAACTGTTTTTGGAAGTGGGTATACTATCTTACATTCCCACAAGCAGGATATGAGACTTTCAGTTACCCTGAATCTTTATCAACATTTGATGTACTCAATCATTTAAATTTTAGCCATTCCAAAAGGTATGCAACAATCTCATTGTGGTTTTAATTTGCACTTTCATAATGACAAATGATTTTGAACATCTTTTCATGGGTTAATTTGCACTGATCTGCCAGGCAAAGTGGTTCACGTCTGTAATCACAGCACCTTTGGAGGCTGAGGATGGCAAATCACTTGAGCCCAGGAGTTCAGGACCAGCCCAGGCAACATGACCAAACCTGTCACTGCCAAAAAAAAAAAAAAAAAAAAA